AGTTGGTGCCTTTTCTTTGATTGCTTGTGTGTTTGTGGGAGAGACTCCAACACACACACACACACACACACAAATTAATTTCAGATGTGATAAGAGGTTTTACTAGTTCAGACAGGGTAGCTAACTGCTTGTTGGAGGAGGACTCATTTGAGCTGATACCTGAAGACAGACTAGGCTTCACGGAGAGAAGCAACATGAAACAAATATGACATAATCAGCGATTTGTATTCCCAGAAGGGGCATAGCTCCGCTTCAGATAGTAGGCACTCTCATTATTGGCCAGACCACACCTCTACACAGACACACTCTCACGTCTGAACTATTAACAGAATCTGTTCAGACCACCAGATCACAGTGTAACAGATGAGGTTGTTTGATCCAGTTTTAAATTTATCAGTAAATATATTTAGCGTGGATGGAAACTGAAGACATTGTTACTTGTTTCAGAATCCAGCCATGTTTTTTGTTTGTTTGTTTTAAATATACCATGTTGGAAGTGTTTTACTGTTTACAGTCACATTCTGATAAGCAATTTGAAGTTATTTAATTGAGATTAAAACCATGAATAGACTTATATGAAGCACTGATTTCTCCTCCTCATGAATAAAACTAAAGTAATCTAATTCAGGATTTTTATTATTAGACTCAAATTTATATTGTAGCAGTTGCAGTATAACCTGATGATAGTGTGGTTGTTTTAGGATGTGATGTAATGTTTTGGAAATACCTTTTGATTTTTAAATGGGTAGCATCTAAAGCTGTGTTTTCATTACTAATTGGCCATATTCAAATGATAAGTCTTGATTTAATATATGGGCAGTTAGTAAATTCTAAACACTTAGTATGTGGCATGCGTAATAGAGAAAATATGTCTTTGTGCAATTATTCAGTGGTTGGCTTAGATACTCTAAACTTAGGAAGAAATGTTAGGAAAGTTGTCCAGAGTTGTGATTCTACAGGGAATTAGCATTAATAGCAATATTATGTTTTCTTTTATGAGTTCATAGTTTGGTAAACACAAAACAAAAAATGTATTTTAGAGCTAGCACTGTTTCTTTCTAATGCAACCATTGTTATTTGTCTTTCACAGGCAGAGAATGTCTCTCCCCTTCATGTATGACCAATGTAAACATATGCTGTTTGTTTCCTCTGAGTTACAGAGGCTTCAGGTCTCTTATGAAGAGTATCTCTGCATGAAAACCTTACTACTTCTCTCTTCAGGTTGGTAGATGAGCTATTCACTTCTACAATTTACTTCTAAATATATCAAAAGCATAAAATATGAACGTCTAGAAAGAGGTTATATATGTAGTATTAATAAATTATTCCAAGTCTACTATCTACTGTTGCTCAGATTATTTTCATACATGTAAAATTTTAGAAAAGCATAGTCAGTGATTCCCAGCAACTCCAGAGGGTGAGAAAGGAAGATCATGAGTTCACAGCCAGTGTGACCACTCCCACTTAAAATGCTGGATTAAAAAACTTTAGAACTGGGGCCAGCAGGTAGCGTGGTAGTTAAGGTGTTGGACTCCTAAATGGCCAACCACAGTTTGAGTCCTGGACCAAAGGCTTGAAAAAAATCACACCAGGCATGTGTGTATGCGTGCCCAAAGTCCCAAGAGGAAATTGTGGCGTGGCCATCCTCCTGGGGGGGTGGGTGATTTCTCACTTTCCATCTCTCTGTCTCTCTCTGTCTGCCCAGTGAGCACACATGCCCTAGAGCAAATAGCTCTCTTAAAACTAAATAAGTAAATTTTTAAAAAATAAATTAAGAACTAAGTAAAAGTAAAAACCCAAAGAGGTAAGGTATCTTCTGAAGCTAGCATTCTCTTTGAGGGCATATAAATTAGTATACTTAGTAAGTTTAGAAACAGTGATTAAAGTGTAGTTGAAAAATGCAATGGATGGATCTAAAAAGCAGATTAGACATTTAAAGAGATTCTTGAGCCAAATTTTATATCTAAAGAAATCAGCTAGAACACAATATTTTAAAGATATGTTTGTGTGTATATTACAAAAAAAAAGCTATAGAAACTCACAAGAAACTGGCAGCATAGCTATAAAAACTGAAAATCAATGATTTCTTATACCTGTAGAGAATTACAGTCACAGAACAAATCATCCCATCAAAATCTGTAGAAACAGTTAAAATACAGCCAAAATCAACTGAAGCCATTGGAGGCAGTAACTGACAGGAAGACTGTGATACTTCTGATGAATTACTAGAGTATAAATGAGGACTAATCTAAGAACTAAAACTCCCTGGGTCCCAATCATGGGTTGGGAGAAACATAATAGTACCATACCTTGTTGTGTTGTACTTCCAGAAACTCTAACAGGTTCTTCTGGTAAAATTAAGAGAAAAAATTTCTCAGTTTTCTTTTATCTGAAGTGGTACAGTGGTAGGGTGCCACTGCATGAGGCTGGGTCCACATGGAAGGCCCAGATTCAGTTCCTGGACCAACCTAAACAGGCCGGGCATGGTTGCATGCCTATAATCCTAGCTAAGTGGAAGTCTGTACAGGATCATGACATGGCAAGATCTTATCAAAAGTACCTATCTCTTTCCATGCCCCCATACATGCATACTTACTCATTAAAAAAATAAAGAAGAAGAAATAGAAGATTAAAAAACATATACAACTTACAGCTACAATAAACATTAAACACAACCCAGCTCCTAGCCAAATTAACAAAATCTCATACAAAAATCCTAATTATCTCAGTTCCAATATTTCCTGTCCAGCTTTCAACGAAAAATGACAAGACACACTGAAAGGCAAAGGGAAAAAGGAAAAAAAAGACAAAGCAACCACTACAGTTAGTGTCTAATATGACACAAATACTGGAATTTTTCAGATAGAATTTAAAGTAACTATGAATAATATGTTAAGAGCTCTAATGGAAAAAGTAGACAACATGCAAGAATAGATAAATATGTAAGCAAAAATGTGACACTAAGAAAGAATACTAAGTGATGCACTAAGAAAATGCTATAAATTAAAAATATTGTAATGGAGGCCTAGTCTCTGTAGTGAAGTTGGTAGTATCCCAGACTGCAGAGTTGGAAGCCACATGCCAATGCTAGTTTGAGCTGTACGTATACCAGGGATTCTGATGGGCTGGAAGAAGGAGATTGTGGCATGGACAAGCTCTGTGGAGGGTGCCATTTTCTTTTCTCTTTCTCTCATGAATGTGTTCCATCACTAATTAAAAAAGAAAGTATTATTATGGAAATGAAGAATGCTACTGATAGTTGCTCATCAGTAGATAAGGCACACCCAAGGGAAGAATTAAATGAGTCCGAAGACTGGTTGATAGAAACGTCTCAAACTCCAAGAAGAATGAAAAAATGAAACAGTATTCAAGAATTGTAGGAACAATCACAAAAGATTAAGGAACAAAAGAAATAGGTGAAGTACTAATACCTAAAAATTTTCCAAAATTAATGACAGACATCAAACCATAAATCTAAAAAGCTCAGACAATACCAAGAAAGATAGAATACCAATGAATTTACACCAAAGCTTATCTTACATGATTGCAGATTACCAGAGGCAGAGAGAAAATATTGAAAGAAGCCAAATGCGAAAAACAGCTTACATAGGACTTTCACCAGGGTTTTCCTCAGAAGTCATGCAAGCAAAAGAAAGTCAAGTGAAATATTGCAAGTGATGAAAGAAGAAAGCCACCCACTTAAAACAGTATATCCACCAAAATTATCCTTTAAAAGTAAAAAAAGAAATGAAGACTTTCTCAGACAAAAACTAAGACAGTCTATCACCATTAGAGCTGCCCTGAAATGTTAAAAATAGTTCTTCAAAGAGAACAAAAATGATATGTCAGAAACCTGGATCTCTGTAAAGAAAGGAAGGGCATTAGAGAACAAATAAATGAAGGTAGAATAAAATATTTCATTTTTCCTCTTGGTTGACCTAATACGTTATTACTTTAAAATGTATCAGATGATTAAATCACAAATAAGGAAAATTATAATAGTGATACTATGCGGGATTGGAGGGAAAAATTGGGCATACTGCTACAAGGTACCTGTGCTACCTATAAAGTGGTATCATGTTACTTAAAAGAGGATGTGGGTTAGGTGTAAATGTGCATTGCAAACTGTACGCAACCAGAGATGAAAAACGGTTTTAAAAAGAAGTAATCAGTGATATGCTGAGAGAGGAGAGAAAATGGAATCATGAAAAACACAATGAAAACAGAAGGGAGAAGAGGACAAGATATAAAAGAAAACAAGAGAAGAAAATAATTCCCAGCTCTGGGTGAGCTCTGAGAATTATTTTTCTTCTATCTCTCCAGTAACTGTTCTTTTACTCAGAGGTTGTTTTTGTGTGGCCTCATGGGATTCCACCTTCCATATACATGGATTTGTATCCAGCTAAGGATAAAGGGAACTTCTGCACCGCCAAAGGCTATACAGGTTTCTGAGCCATTTCTTTGTATACCTCCTCCTTTTCCAGTACTCTGACTCACAAATTCTATCTGCTTAGCTTCCCCAGACTTCAGTCTCTTTCTCCTCAACCCAGCAAGGTTTCTATACTTTGATTTACCCTTTCCTTACCCTGTAATGTGACGGGCCAAAAAAAAAACACAAAACCCAAAAAACTTAAGAGTTAAGACATTTTGCTCTTGAATGAGGTGGAAGTACAAGTAATGCTTCATGGACTCAAAAAATTTTCATTGGTTTAATTCTAATCACAGCCCAGTGAGAAAGAGCAGGAAACAGGTTCCAAGAGGTTATACTCAAGTCCATGTGGCAAATAAGAAATAAATGAAAATTTCTTGCTCCTTGGCTTTCCTCTATTCCTGCATTTTCTTCCCTGGAGAATGCATCATAATATTCTCTGAGAAACCCTGAAATTCAGAAGTCTGCCTAACTCTGTTTATATTTAACTTTTCTTAAATTTTGACCATTGAATCCTTTGTTTCCACTCTTACTATTGTTAACACAGAACCAGTGTTCTTTTGAAGCATATTTTGAAAAAATTAACTCTACAAAAGTCATAATCTCTGCAAGATTAAGTCAAACCTTGACTGTCACTGTCCTCCTTACTAATACCAATTTTTGAAGAGTAATATACAAAAAGTTTTATATGAATTTTACATTCTGTTATCCCTGAGCTATTGTTAGTATTTTCAAGAACACAAGGAAAGACTGATACAAAGAATTTTCAAATAGTTCATTTAAAAAAAAAAATGTATTGCAGGGGAAAAAAAAACTACACATGGCTTTCAAAGTTTTTTGCACCAAAACAAACTCATAATTTTTTTGTTTTGCTTTTGTAGTTTGCTATAAGGTGCATGCGTGCACTGAAGAGAAATTGAGAGGAAGTGAGAAAGCATCCCTAAGAGGGGGATAATCATGCTGCGGTCCCTTCCCCATTCTCCTCTCAGAATCTTGGGAACACACATGCACACACTTCATGTGTTTTTAAAGCTGCTGGGTCCAAGGCTCAAACTGTGCAGTCGGCCATGTGGAATCTAACCACTTCAACCAGCTGGCCCTAAACGCACACTTCAAATTCCATTTTTCCATGTATGTTTGGAGGCCTCTCATGTATACTCAGTAGTAAGGCTACATTTAAAAAAAAGAAATTCCTTTTAGATCAAAATCAACTCAGTATGTTAAACACATTTTTAAAAATATATTGAATGCTGATTTTAATTAAATTTCTAATTAACTGGTGATATCACAGATATTTGAAGATGTAACTAATAGATAAACACTATTGTTGAATCTTTGTACAAACTTAAATTCATTGTTACCTAACTGCATTGTTTCATTTGGTCTTCAAAATAGCTTTGTAAACTAGGTAGGAAGCTCCATTTTATAGCCGAGAAGCCAAGTGATCTACCCAAGAATCTTCCAATTCTCTATGACCCTTTATTCTCTCTTGGCTGCAGTTTAATAATGCTTTGAAAATGCTTACGTTTGCAAATGTATTAATAGTATACATGGGACCAGAAGATGTCATAATTATGTTGCTGGACTCCCATATGACTCTCCGCCGTTCAAGTCCCAGACCTGGAGTCTTGAAAGTCACGCCGGGCACGTGTACATGCATGTCCGAAATCCTGAGAGGAGAATGGAGGAGAAGCGATTGTGGCGTAACCATCCCCCTTTGAGGGTGTTTTCTCACTTTCTGTCTCTCGGTTTCTCTCTGCTTCTACAGTGAGCGCATGTGCCCTATAGCAAAAAATCTCTCTACAGAAAAGAGTATGTAGACTATGTATGTCATGAAGTGTGCTATTAAATGCCTGCTTGAATGTATGAAAAATTTTAGAAAGAAAATTCTTTTCATTGACTCCATCTTAATCTTTTAGTTCCTAAGGAAGGTTTGAAGAGCCAAGAGCTATTTGATGAAATTAGAATGACCTACATCAAAGAGCTAGGAAAAGCCATAGTTAAAAGGGAAGGAAACTCCAGTCAAAACTGGCAGCGTTTTTATCAGCTGACAAAACTCTTGGACTCCATGCATGATGTAAGTGTCAAATATAAAGCCAAATATAAGAAGAATTTTCTGGGACATAAAGTGTGCTTTGATTATTGTACATAATTACATACTAATTATTTTTATTTCCTGTTTGGGATTTGAGTGATGATTTAAGTTCTAATCATGAACTTCAGTTCGGACACACTTTTCCTAGACCACTTAGAAATATAATTTTATCTAGTCGTGTGCATATAAAATCACCCATGTTATTACAGAATGTACGGTATTATTTTTATAATTATTTTGATAATAATTATATGTATATATGAGGTATAGTGTCATATATTATGTATTCCAGTTCATCATGAAACACCTAATTCCATAGCACTACAAACTATATTTAAAGAATTTAAATTGCCTTTTGTATTTGCGTGCTTATTTTATTTAACTACACTTCTTTTTCACCTGGAAAATTTCAGCAGAGATTGGTATATTAATAGTTCAGATATTAGAAACAAAATAATAGAGGCCAACAAGTATGAGGTGTTCCTACTGATCAGTCTGAAGCCTACTCATCACTGTATCTTTTTTACAGGTGGTTGAAAATCTTCTTAACTATTGCTTCCAAACATTTTTGGATAAGACCATGAGGATTGAGTTCCCAGAGATGTTGGCTGAAATCATCACCAATCAAATACCAAAATACTCAAATGGAAATATCAAGAAACTTCTGTTTCATCAAAAATGACTGCCTTATTAAGAAAGGTTGCCTTAAAGAAAGTTGAATTTATAGCTTTTATTGTACAAACTGTCAATTTGTCCTGTAGATTTTGTTGTTTTATTTGTTTGTTTGTTCTTGTCTTCTCGTTTTGTTCTGTTTGAAATACGCACTACATGTGGTTTATAGAGGGCCAAGACTTGGCAACAGAAGCAGTTGAGTCATCACTTTACCGTGGTGAGAAAGTTGATAGTGAAATTCACTAGTTGGTGTATCCCCGAAATTAGAAACAGTAATGCGCGCGCGTGTGTGTGTGTGTGTGTGTGTGTGTGTGTGTGTGTGTGTGTGTGTGTGTGTGTGTGTGTGTGTGTGTGTGTGTGTGTGTGTGTGTGTGTGTGTGTGTGTGTGTGTGTGTGTGTGTGTGTGTGTGTGTGTGTGTGTGTGTGTGTGTGTGTGGGGTCATCTCCACTGTCAGAGAAGGATGGCACCTAAACCACCAGTGCCCAAAGTCTATGTGATGAATTTTCCTGCTCATACTTTTCACAGTTGGCTGAATAAAATTTTCTAAGCTTTTCGTTGGTGTATTTTCCCCTGTATAGTTAGGATAGCATTTTTGATTTATGCATGGAAACCTGAAAAAAGTTTACAAGTGTATATCAGAAAAGGGAAGTTGTGCCTTTTATAGCTATTACTGTCTCATTTTAAAAATTTTCCTTTATATGCAGTGAACTACGCTTGCTCATTTTTTCTTACATAATTTTTGTATTCGAGTTATTGTACAGCTGTTGAAGATGGGCAGCTAGTTCATAGCTTTCCCAAATAAATTCTAAATGTCAATCTTCTGTGTGAAAATGGGTTGGTGCTTCTAACCTGATGGCACTTAGCTGTCAGAAGACCACAAAAATTGACTCAAATCTCCAGTATCCTTGTCAAAAAAAAAAAAAAAATTCACATTTTGTATTTATCTGCTTCAGTGGAGAATTATAGATTGAGCAAATTAACCGTCCTAAGTGGTATAGAGCACCTAGTCCAGTGACCTGCTGGGTAAACTGTTGATGATGGCTGCAAAAGACTTCATTTTAAAAATAATAAAAAACTACCAAGAGGCCCCATTTGTACCTAATGCCCTATCGCTGCAATGATTAGATGGCAAGAAAGTTGGTGAAATAATCGTCTTTTGGGACCTTTTGTAGTAGTTTGTATAACTTCTTAAAAGTTGGAATTCCAGATAACCAGCTGTAGCTCAGCCGATAGATTCTTAATCAGACCAAGTAATTCCTTCTACTAAACGTTACCCCCAAATTAAATCTCTAATATGGTAAAAGTGGCTAGACACCCATTTTCACATTCCCATCTGTCACCAATTGGTCAGTCTTTCCTGGTGGAGCAGGAAAGCTCAGCTACTGATTTTTGTGATTTCGAACTGTACGTCAGACCCCCGTGTTTGTAAAACACATCCCTACGTGTGCCATAGAGTTTAACACAAGTCTTGTGGATTTCTTCTTCACTGTTGAGAATTATTCTTTTAAACAGAATAGAAGCTGTAGTAGCCCTTTCTGTGTGCACCTTACCAACTTTCTGTAAACTCAAAACTTAACATATTTACTAAGCCACAAGAAATTTGATTTCTATTCAAGGTGGCCAAATTATTTGTGTAATAGAAAACTGAAAATCTAATATGAAAAGTATGAAACTTCTAATATATTTTTATATTTAGTTATAGTTTCAGATATATATCATATTGGTATTCACTAATCTGGGAAGGGAAGGGCTACTGCAGCTTTACATGCAATTTATTAAAATGATTGTAAAATAGCTGTATAGTGTAAAATAAGAATGATTTTTAGATGAGATTGTTTTATCAGACATGTTATATATTTTTTGTAGGGGTCAAAGAAATGTTGATGGATAAACTTATATGATTTATAGTGTGTGAAAGCATTCATACAGGCAGCAGTGGTCTCAGAAACCAAATAAATTTGCCTTAGGGACAGAGGGGGATGGAGACTGACCCTGTGTACAGTGAAGGTTGCCGAGGCTCTGACCCAATCAATCTTAGAGGAAGTAATCCCCTGCCTCCCATCTGACCACCTTTCTCATTCCATCCAGTCTGTCAGCGCAGACCTAGTTTACTAAGTCACCCTGATGCTCAAGTGTGTCAACAGGACAGAAAGGTGGTGCTTACAGACCTACAGGCACTGTCTAATAGCGGGGTTACCTTCATATACCGCCTCGCCAACAGTTTAATAAAAACAGAGGCTTTAGAAGTTTGGCAATAATACGCATAGAGGTACCAGCAATATGTAAATAGTGCAGAATCTCATAGGTTGCCAATAATACACTAATTCCTTTTTATCCTACAAGAATTCATTTCCAAATAAAATAAGGACAATGTTTCTGTTTTCTCTGAATGCTTTTTGATGTTTTTTTTTTTTATTTTCAGTATTTTGGAGAAATTATTTAATAAAAAGTGTAATCATTTGCTTTTTGAATGCTCTCTAAAAAGGAACGTTCCTTTTGTAATGGTTTTAGTCGATCTCAGAATACTTTCAGATGGTTTGTAATGCAACTGGATGTAAAACTTACGGTGCCTAAGAAATACCACTTGAATATTATTATCAATGACAGTGTTAAGTTTCAAAAAGAGCTTCTGAAAAGTAGATTATTGTTCATTTGCAGACTATTACATGGTTAAAACCAGAAAGCACATCACATGTTCCTGTTATTTTAGTACCAGCAAGCTTGGCTCTCAGAAAATAGAGCTCAGTGAAAAAAGATATGTGCACTTTGTTGTCGATAGGAAGTGAACTGACATTCATAAAACAACTGTAAGAAATATTTCCTTAAACAGAAGAAAAAGCTGTGCCCTTTTAGAATATGTAGGAAAGAAGGAAGTTAATTATGTGTGAGTGTAATTGTGAATTTAAGTGAAAAAAGACATGGCGCTGTTGGAAAGCAGCTACATTTTCTGTGGATGTGGTGTCTTGCCATCCCAAACTATTGAAGTTCGTAGTTACTGCAGTGAGAGCTGGTGACATACCTAGATGATTCAAAACAAATCCTGAAAAGTCGTTTTAATAGACAGTGGGAAAAAAGTGACCCCTCTTAGTGCTTTTAGGTATTGCACGAGATACAGTCAGAACTGAGGAGCCAAGAATTTAATGCTTTGGGGGTATATATGCCCAAAGGTATAAAACGATGGGATGGTAACCTAAAAGAGCACCTGCTTTCTCCTGAAAACAATAGAAAAATGTAGCCACTTCAAAAGGAAAACAAGATTCCCCACCAAGAAGAGCTTGCAAATTAGCATAGGGTAAACTCTGGGCCTGTACATGAAGGAAAATCAGCCTTAATTTAGAACTTGGTGGAGGTGTGCAAATGCAATTCTACTCATCTTATTCTTTTAGTTCCCTTTTAAATACTCTTCAGACTACATCCCCATGGAATGAGCAATATGGTTATAGTCCGATTTATCAAAATTCAGGAATCGTGGCAGCCTTCAGTGAGATTCTATCTTGATTGGTCACCCCAGCAACTGTAGCTGTAGGTGAATGTTTTTAATGTGCCTGGTTTCAGTGTTGGAAGGGAAAATGGAAGTGTGAGGATGATATTTTAAACCACTTTGGATGAATGTTTCATCTTCTCAGTCCACCCGGTCTACCAAGGATTAGTGACCAGGTTTTCAGGAAAGGATTAGTTTCTCTCTAGAAAATGTCCGAAAGAAGAATTTTATTTTCTAATGAAAGGCTATATTTGAAAATACCCTCCTTCAAATAACTTGCTTAACTACATATAGATTCAAGTGTGTCAATATTCTATTTTGTATATTAAACAAATGCTATATAATGGGGACAAATCTATATTATACTGTGTATGGCATTATTAAGAGGCTTTTTCATTATTTTTTATCACAGTAATTTTAAAATGTGTAAAAATTAAAACAAGTGACTCCTGTTTAAAAATAAAAGTTGTAGTTTTTTATTCATGCTGAAGAATCTGTAGTAAAACAAACAAACAAAATGTCTTTTTACCTACGCAGTGAAATGTCAGACTGTAAAATCTTGTGTGGGAATATTTCACTTTTCTTCTTCATTTAAATTTGCTGTTCTGGTATTACCAAACCACACATTTGTACTGAATTGGCAGTAAATGTTAGTTAGCCATTTACAGCAATGCCAGATATGGAGAAACATCATAATAAAAAATATGCTTTTTCATTATGTGACTCTAACATGCTTTTGTAGAACTCGTATAGTTTCCATTTTCCTACTTATTTTTCTTCTTGTTCTGCTGAAGGTACAGTTACCACTTCATGAAGGTTAAGATTATCAATTGGACATTCAAATGTCAATGTGGCAATGTTTTTATGCTAATATGGCATAAATTCAAAATGAGCTTACTTATGTTGCCAAAGACTCAAAGATTATTCCACCCATGCTTCAAATGGTTGTATGCCAATTATTGCATAGGGTACTAAGGGAAGGGAAAACTCACTACTGAGGCTACTCCAAATACAACATTCTTGATCATGGAAGATGACATTTTATATAAATAAATGTTGCCAAATCAAAATTCTTAGCTTACTTGTTTTAGAATCAACTCTTTGAATAAGAAAAGGAAATAACTAATAAATATCCTAGAGTCAGCAGGTGTCATAGTGGTTAAAGCACTGGTGGTTTAAGACCCACATCCAGCAACTTGAAAGTCATGCCAGGCACATATGTCAGGCACATGTGTGTGTGTGTGTGTGCTCCAAAACCCAGGAGAATGGAGGAGAGGGGATTGCAGCATGGTCATCCCTTCTGGGATGGTAAGGAGGGGGGTGAGTTCTTGCTTTCTGTCTCCCTCTCTCTATGGTGAGTGTAAAAAGCTATCAAAAAACTATCATAGCGGGGACCAGCAGTTAGCATAATGGCTATGTTGCTGAACTCCCATGTAGTCGACCGCGGTTTGAGTCCCAGACCTGGCGGCTTAAACTTACACCGGGCGCATGTGCATGTGTGCCCAAGATCCCGAGAGGAGAATGGAGGAGAAGGGATTGTGATTGTTGCATTACCATCCTCCCTGGGGGTGA